TACTTCCTATTCACATTCTGCTCTCTGAGTGTAGATGCAACGTAAACAATAATTTACCCTTCCTGCTACCAAGCAGCCTTCCTTGCCTACTCTCATGTCCTCTCTGCCATGATGGGCTCTGTGACTTTGGAGCTGCAGGACAAAATAAGCTCTTTCTCCCTTAAGTTGCTTTCATCAGGGCATTTTATCACAAGAGTAAAGCAACCAAGACAGAACCTGGTACTAAGAAGTAAGGTCCTTGCTATGATAAGCCTGTCCATGTGGTCCTCAGGCCTCTGGACCTGGTCTGTGGGGAGAAATATGGAAGTGTTTGGAACTTTGTGTTAGAAAAGCCGGAGTGCTATAAACAGAGCTCAATGGACTATTCTAATGCTGAGAAAGATCAGAGGGATGGCTCAGAGGTTAAGAACACTGGTCTTCCAGAAGTCCTGAGGTCAATTCCCAACATCCACATGGTGGCTCACAGCCATCTGTAATGAGATCAGAAGCCCTCATTTGGTGTGGAGACATGCATGCAGACAGAATACTGTTCACATAATAATCTTTAAAACAAACAAACAAAAAAAAGAATGAACGAACAGTGGTGCTCAGGTCAGAAGTTTTCAGAGGAAAACAATGATTATCAGGAACTAGAATAGAGGTCATTTATGTCACATTTTGACTAGGAATCTGGCTCATTCTGCCTGTGTGCTGAGAACCTGAGTAAATTTGAATTTAAAGACAGTAAACTGATTTGTTTGGCAGTAGGAATTTTAACACAGAATTGTATCTAGCACTAAAAATTGTGCTACAGTGGAACACTAGCAAAGGTGTCCTCAGGACAAAATCCATTGGAGGCTGTATTATGAAAATCAAATGCATTTAAAGGAAGAAAACCTAAACTGAAGGGACTTCCTACTCCTCAAAGCAACTACTTAGCAAAGTCTCTTCAAGGTCAGCACTCAACAACCAATACAGCTGTACTCCACTGGAGTCAGCTACATCTTGAGCTGACAGCAGGATTGGCAATGCCTTCCTTTGGTACTCATTTTAGAAGCATGCAAGAAACAAGATTAAAGAGGTCACAGAGTCCTGTATTCCATGTTTTCTGAGGGCAGCTGAGGTCAGGCAATGTGTTAGGGTCTGAGTCCATATAAGGAGACCCTGAGCCACATATGAAGCCTAGGTTGCAGTGGACACCCCAGAATACTGGAGGTGCCAGGACCATAGGATGAAAAGGGATGAAAGCATGGGTTGGAGCCAACACGAGAGAATGTGCTAGCAGGGCGTTGGTAGTGCACGCCTTTAATCCCAGCACTCAGGAGGCAGAAGTAGGCGGATCTCTGTGAGTTCGAGGCCAGCCCCACCCACCCCCCCCCACACACACACACACACACACACACACACACAGAGAGAGAGAGAGAGAGAGAGAGAGAGAGAGAGAGAGAGAGAGAATGTGCTGAAGGCAGCAGAACCAGAGCCCTATGCACGCTACCACCTTTACATGTTAAAGAGAAGGCATTCCCTGGCCTCTTGTACACCACACAACATTTTCTTGGTTTCTCTGGTACTTTTTGTTTAGAGTACTTTAGTTCTTGGGTACTTCTGAGCTTTGTGGGGGTTATTTATTTTTTTGTAATTTGTTTTGTTTTGTTTTTGATTCAGGGTCTCTCTGTAGCCCTGGCTGTCCTGGAACTCATTATGCAGACCAGACTGGAATTGAACTCACAGAGATACATCTGCCTCTGCCTCCCAGTGCCAAGATTAAAGGTGTGCCACTACACCTGGTGGTTTTGTGTTTTACAATGCTAGCAAACCTAGGAAGCCATTACTCATGCTAGGCAAATGTTTGACCACTGGGCTATACCCCAGGTAAGACATTTTCTTCAAGAAATATTTAAATGAAGCTAAGCATAGTGGCTCATACCTTCAATCTCAGCACTAGGGAGGCAAAATTATGAACATCTCTGTTAAGCCAAGGGCAGCCTGGTCTACAATGCAAGTTCTAGGCTGGTCAGAGCTACATAGTGAGACTGTTACATAATGAGACTAGGTATCAAAACGTTAAGAACACTTACTGCTCTTACAAAGGACCAGATCAGATAGCTCATAGGTGCCTATAACTCAGTTCCAGGCAATCTGACACCCTCTGGACTCCACAGGCACCTGCATGCATATGGCACATACAAACTCATGCAACAACAACTTACATACATTAAAATAAATAATAATTTTTTAAAAATAAAAGAAAAACTAATGCAAGTGTTTTCTAAGAATGCTAAAGGCTAAGCTCCACTGACAGGTACTTAACATACAAAATTACTGCTCTCCAGAAAAGCATAGTTCAATAATAGAGGTTAAAAAATTTCATGGCAGGGGTCAGTGAGATGGCTTAGAGGTAAACATGCCCGCCACCAAGTCAGATGGTCTGAGCTTAATCCCCAAACCCACATGGGAGGAGAGAGCAAACTCCAAAAAGTCACTCTCTAGCATCCACAAGCATGCATCTACACACATTCACACAAAACAATGAAAATTTAATTTTTAAAAATTTTAATAGGGTAGCAATTTCAAAGAGTGACAAATAATACCACAGAAATAAGCACAAGTTCTATGAACCATAAGAAATCAGGAAACTGACCTAGCCTTAGAAGACCTACAACGGAAACCAAAAGAGCTGATACCCAAGCTGAAAACCAGCTGAAAAGCACAAGAGGCAACCCAAAGGTCAGAAGAAATATGGACTAATCCATACTGACTTTCAAGTGACAAAACCAAAAAGTTGTTTTTCCTAATACTAACTGCTCCTTAGTATTCTAAAGTCATTTAAAGTATTTTTTCCTGGGCAGTGGTGGCACACGCCTTTAATCATGGCACTAAGGAGGCAGAGGCAGGCAGATCCAAGTGAGTTCAAGGCCAGCCTAGTATACCAAGTGAGTTTCAGGACAAAAGGACTACAATACAGAGAAACCCTGACTCCAAAAACCAAAATTTAAAAAAAAGTCAAGTATTTTTTAAAATGCAAAAAAGCTAATTGGGGAGGTGGGAGTGTATAGAAAGATGTCTCAGTGGCTGAAAGCACTTCCTGTTCTACAGTTCAGTCTCAGCACCCACATCGGGTGGCTCAGCCAGCTCCAGGGGATCTAACACTCTATCCTGGCCTCCTGTGGTACCTTAACTCACATGCAATATACTCACACATACACTAAGGAAAAGGGCTACACCAACATGGAAATCAGATCAGTGTCTTGCTCAACCATCATCAGAGAGGCTTCCTTCCTATAGCAGATGGGACTAAAAAGAGATCCACAATGGACAAAGTGAAGAGAGTAAAAGACCTTGGAACTCCCAGTCCTAAAGAGGGTGCCTCATCAAATCCCTCCCTCAGAGTTCAAGGAACCCTGCCAAAGAAGAGAAGGAAAAATTATAAGAGCCAGACGGGTTGGAGGACACCAAGAAAAACAAGCCTTTCAAACACAGCAGGACTAATGCATACATAAACTCAGAGACCCTGACAGCATGCACAGGGCCTGCACAGGTCTCAGTCAGTTGGGGTCCCAGTGCTGTGAGGAAAAGTGGAGACAAGTCTCCATCCCTTACCCAGAAGCTATCTCTAATTGATAACTGCTCACAAAGGAAGACTTAGTTTTCTCCAAACAAGTTTCACTAGTTATACAAACCACTCTTAAGGACAGATCCCATGCCCAGCAGTAGACAACTCAAAACAAACTCAATGGCATTTCTGGAGGTTCTCTGTCTCATAATGCTTTGTCTGGACACTACTTTTCTTTTCCCTTACAGGTCTTTTGGGAATACATTACGGTTTTCGTATTGTGGTATTGTGTTTTTTCAGTGTGTGAACTTGTGTCTCAGCATCTATTATGTGCTTCTTGGGCTTTTTCTTTGGCTCTTTTTCTTCTGTTTGTTATTATTTTATCTTACTATTATTTTTAGATGTCAGTTTGTATTCTAATGAGAGAGAGAAAGAGTCTGGATTTTGAGTGGGTGGAGAATTGGGGAGGATCCGGAAGGAGTTGGGAAAGTGGAAACCATAAACAGAATAATCTGTATAAAAAAAGATTTAAAAATATTAAGATTTAAAAAGGAAACCAAGGAAAGTAAAATAAATACAGCAATGAGTAAAAAGGGAAAACAATAGGAGAGGAACACACTAAAATACCAAAGTTTCTGCAGTAGTGATTACAAGATGTTCATGCTGTGCCTCATTCCATGGGAGTAGGGTCATACTCACAAACAGCCACACACACACAGACACATATACCTAAATAAACAGTTGCAATAAATGAACTGAAATCTGGGGAGGAAAAACAAGGCAGAAGAGACATTTTAGTCTATTGCAAAAATCTACATTACAGATGAACAGGCATAGACATGGAGACTGAAACAGACAGACCTGAGTGTCACTTTAAAGGAAAAACCTAAAGCATGTGGAAACCAAGTGGGGTAACAGATGAAAACAAGAATCAAAGGTGACTCTGAAGGTGATAGAGAAAAATGAATGCTTTTCCCATTGAGTCACGTGAAGCTCTAAGACCCAAGGACTGGTTCATAATGCACTGGAACTCACCTAACGAGCAGATAAAAAACAAACAAACAAATAGGAAATAAGTAGAAGGTTTAAAATCTAGAAAACTCTCTCTCCTGGAAACCTTTCTTGGCTCAGTTGGTAATGTGCTTCCTTAGCATGTACAAAGCCTGGGTTCCATCCCAAGCAACACTCACATTTCCTTTTACTTTCCAAACACAAAAATTACCCTGTATATTTGGTTTAACTTACTCTAACAGTTCTAAAATATATTGGGTTGACATATTACAAAAAGGAAAACTATAATTCATCCCCAGCTAAAGAGCATGGCTACTTTCTTTTAAATAACCCACAATTCCACTTAGAAATCAAAAGAAAATCAAGTAAAAACTGCGACTGTGAAGGTACAGTTGAAACAAACCTTTGTGGGTAAAGAGGCCTATGTGAGACCTACAACTCCATGTCAAATACTCACCTCCCCATCACTATCAGATATCACTATGAGTAAGTCCTCAAGTCTACGCTTCTTCTTCATACTGACAGAACTGGTAGTTTCTGGATCCTTCTCCAAGTTCTGGCTTTCAGAGGCTTCTTTAATTTTTTTCTTTCTTCGTGGCATCTTTTTACCTGAAATGCAAGTTCAATAATTTACTCAAAGTAAATGTTTCCAATCTAGGGTGTTCTAGAGGTTGGCCTCAACCTTCTAATTTGGTCATACAACAGCTATTTAAGGGAAGTAACTCTAGATTTTAGACTTTTCTACTGTTCATTAAAAAATTTACCTTTTTTCTGTAAAAGAATATGTACACATATGCATATACATATCTATGGACACATGTGTCCATATAAATACATACAAATAAATCTAATCTCTCTAGTGAAATTTCAATACCATAAAAACAATTTATCTTGGTTTCTTTTTTTTTAAGAATTTATTTATTTATTATGCATACAACATTCTGCTTCCGTGTATTCCCCTTATCTTGATTTCTTATATATTAATTTAAACAACTGATTTCTTCAAGTATACAGTAACAATTTACCCAAATGATCTTTTTAAAAAATACTAATGCTCGGGGCTGGAGAGATGGCTCAGAGGTTAAGAGCACCGACTGCTCTTCCAGAGGTCCTGAGTTCAATTCCCAGCAACCACATGGTGGCTTACAACCATCTGTAATGAGATCTGGTGCCCTCTTCTAGTATGCAGATAATAAGAAATAAAAGGAAAAAGAAAGTTTTTTAAAAAAAAAAAAAAAAAAAACAAAAAAAAAAAAAAAAAAAAAAAAAAAAAAAACTAATACTCTTAAGGGCCCAGGACCAGCCCAAAAAACAAAACTTGAAATAAGCTTGTTCCCTAACTAGAACTAATAAAATAAAAAAAACAAAAAACAAACAAACAAAAAACTAATACTCTTAATCAGGGGAAGCAGCTCCCAGTCCATCAGGAAGATCACAAGGTGGAAGACAACCCAGACAACATTAGTACAGTCTCAAAATTTTAACAGCCAAAACCTCACTACCTCAATCTGATAGCCAATGTTTACAGATTTATGTGATAATTATGTTAGCAATATATTTAGAGGTAAAATATTGAATTATTCCTCAAGATAAAGAAGAATAGGGCAAACATGTCTGCTTTGGCTGTGTCTTGTGTCTATAATACCAGCTTACTTGCAGGAGGACTGTAAGGTAGAAACAACACTGAACAAAATAGTGAGATCATGCCTCAGAAACAGAAGGAAAAACAATGTTTGCTTTCAGCACCAAAGATTATACTGGAGTTTCTAGGTAGGTTAATTAAGGTGCCTGGGAGGCCAGCAGGTGGCAGCCCCTCACACTAGAGTTACAGGTAGCTCTAAGTCACCAGGGGGGCACAGGGAATTTAATCAGTATCCTCCAGAAGAACAATCAGTTCTCTTAACCATGGGCACATCTTTCCATCCCCCAATTCCACTTTTTAAAAAGAATTATTTATTTAAGTTTATATTATGAGTGTTCTGCCTGCATGTATCATATGTACCACTTGTGTGCCTGGTGCCTTCAGAAGACATAAAAGGGTGCCAGATCCTCTGGGACTGAAGTTATTCACAGGTGCTAAGAACCAAACCTAAGTCTTCTATGAGCATAATAAGTGCTCTTAACTTCTGAGCCATCTCTACACCAATGGTTCCCAATCTTCCTCATGCTGCGACCATTATGCTGCGATCATTCTTGTAGTATGAATTCCAATTGTTCTTAATGATAAAAACCCGGAGTTAGCTATGGGGGTTGGGGGTGAAAGCTGAAGGATCAGAGAAGCAGAGTGACCAGCCACTAGAGTCCTTACCTCTACCAATGCTCAGACCAAAGGGCCGATCCTGTCCTCAGTCTGCATCCTCAGACTGACTTGGTCTCTACCAATCCTCAAACTGCCCTGAACTGTCACCTCCTGTCTCTCTCAGCTGAGTCAAATCACCCCTGTCTCTACCCTGGTGCGGGATTAAAGGCATGGGATCCCAAGTGCTGGGATCACCTTTGTGTGAACTCTGTTTCTCTTTTAGGCAGATTCAACCTCGTGTATAGCCCAGGGTGGCCTTGAACTCACAGAGATCCATTTGCCTCTGTCTCCCCAGCGCTGGGATTAAAGGTTTGCACCACCACTGCCTGGCCTCTATGGCTAACTAGTGACTTGGCTCTGCACTTCAGGCAAGCTTTATTTGTTATATCATAAACAAAATATCACTACAGTTCCTCATGTTGTAGTGGCCCCCAACCATAAAATTATTTGTTTTGCTACTTCATAACTGTAATTTTGCTACTGTTGTGAATCGCAATGTAAATAAATGCAGGATATCTGATATGTAACCCTTGTGAAAGGGTCGGTTTACCCCAAAGAGATCAAGATCCACAGGTTGGGAACCAATGCTCTACACTCTGAGTTCAAGGCCTCCAGCTTGGTCTACAGCTCTAGTTACAGGACAGCCACGCTACAAAGGAAAGCCCTGACTCAAAATAATGATGATAATAATAATCTTATGAATAAATTTAACATAGAAACATATAAAATTTAAAACTAAAAATTTTACAATATTCCTTAAAAGGAGGCAGAGATTAAACTCAGTGGAATGGGTGTGTGTGTGTTCATACCCACAAGTGCCCACACACAGGCAAAAACAGATGTCCAACACACCTTGAGCAGTAATAATAGTTACCATTCACTTCTAGGTCTATCACACCCATTACAGACGTTACTCCTCCCAAGAGTTCTTCCATGGTGGACACCACTACCTAATAAGTAAGGGGAAAAAAAAGGAAAAGAAAAAGAAAAAGAAAAAGAAAAAGAAAAAGAAAAAGAAAAAGAAAGGAAGGAAGAAGAAAAGAAAAGAAAAGAAAAGAAAAACCGGTAGCTGGCAAGTGGCTAAGCTGGGAAATGACATATCATTATCTGATTCCAAACTACTTGCTTTGACTCAACTACAAAGCACTGTCTCTCATAACAAAACAAACAAAAACCCTAAATGTTGAGCTCTCTCTCTGCTCAGCGTTGCCGGTGTTTGACACAATGACTAAACTGCAGTTAGACTGGAGTCGAGCAGACACCAGGTTCACATCCCGAGGAGACCAGCGCTACTGACGACGGTAAGCAGTAAATGACACCCACTTCCTGGGAAAATCCTTCTCG